CAATATAAATTCAACCTCAACAAGTTAACTGATAAAACAGAATAAATGAAAACACAGATTCTTCATGTCATGCTGGTGGTGTGATTGCGTGTTTGGGTGGCCCTCTGCTGTCAAGCCTGTAGTTAACACCTTTATTTCTTTTCTTGCAGCATGCACATGCACATTCTTCAGGCTTCTTCATCACTCAGGACTCCTCATTTGGAAACCTCATCCTCCCAGTTCTTCCACGCCTGGAGCCCGAGTCTTGACGCTTTACATCCGATCTACCTTCTGGTGTGAGAGGCGCAGCTTTGGAACAAGCTGGGCGCACACCACGTCTCTCATCTTGGACAGCTGTTTGTGATGTCGTAAATGATCTCAGGGGAGTGTTAAATGACCTCTCTTATATTTTCATGACTAGGAAAGCTGCTTGCTGATTTTAGAAAACCTGCACAAGGGATCAGAAGACTGTTCTACATGGCCGTGAAACATTGCAGTAAAGGTTATATTTCGACTGTTTTCGTTCTGCTGTGGATAATAAAAATGTTGCATACATTAAAGATGATAACAGGAGTGCTTCTGGACTCTAACACACCCACTGATGTTCTTTGAGGGTGAAAGATATCAATTTAATAAATGGAGGAAAAAACCTTTTTTTGTGGTTTATTGTAAAACAGCCATAAGAAACACATTTTTTAGAACCTGATGAATTCTGAGCAGCTGAATCTGCTGTGAAAGTCAACAAGTGTCAGTTTCACGCTTCTGTTTCATAATCGCACAAGAAAAAAAATCCACTAGACAGGAAGCACCCATGATGGTTGGAATACAGTCGACATATGATTTGAAGTCAATTATGTTAAAAGTCCTAAGGTGGTATTTTTCTCTGATTTTTTTTTCTATACATAAAGTATGCAGAGGTTTTGTAGGCCTGTGCCTCAGGCAGCGCGAGCACCATACATGAAGCTGTCACTTTGACACAATGGGCAACAGTTCTCCTTTTGCCTTCATTGTTTTGATCTTGGCCTTAATGGTGTCGTCCATCGCCTGCCGACAGCGGTGGGCGTAGTGTGCCAGCGTCTCCTCCTTCTCATCCCATGGCACCAGTGCGTGAAAAACCTCTGGAGCAGCCAGGCTGAGCTCCGCTATGGCCGCCGTGCGAGAGATTGTGTTGCGGTCCACACCGATGCGGTCAAACGCCACCTTCATGGAGACGCTGCGGCGAAACTCCTGGAGGGCAGCCATGTAGCGTGCTATCACACCCACCACGTTTTTCACTACCAATAAAAACAAAAAAGCTATGTTTAGCACAGCGAGTACTCCGTGACACATTTATCAGAGTGTCTCTATGTGTCCTTACTCCTGACTCGAGTGTTTTCTCCATCCCGGCTCCTCTTGCTCTTCGGGGTCCGATGGCGCTCTAGAGGATGAAGCTCCACTTCCTCAAATGAGTCAAACAGCGTTGGCAAATCAAACCCAGCTGCATCATCAGAGGACGCCATGTGTGAGCTTCCAGGTTCCACCTGAGTGGAACAACGAGGCCACCTCTTCTCTAGAAGAAAGAAAGAGAAGATGAGGACTGAAGATTTTGAGAAACCAACTAACTCTAGTTCAGTGAACGTAATTTTTGTGTAAGGTTACAAACGGCACAGATTCGTGAGCTTACCGGGGCGCAGTTTATCCTGCAGAAACTCACATATGAGTTCAGCTTTCTTCGTGAGTTCATGTTGCAGCAGTTCTTTGTCCTGCTTCAAATTGGAGATCGTCTCTGTCATTTGTTGGTTTCGGCTGCGTTCTGCTAATAGTAATGCTCGCAGCTTCTCCAGCTCACTCTCGTCTTCTTCAGCTTTACAGACACACAAAAAAATTACAAACAAAAACAACGTTATGTTTTGTTCCCCTGATGGCATGAAAACATGCGAGCTGGTACCTGTGTTCTTCGTAGTGGTCTCTGTGGCAGAGCTGCATCGCTCAGCCTGCTCTGTGGTCCCTGCTGTGCAGCTGCCTCCTCCTAGTACCTCCGTCTCTGGATCCATCGATCCCTCACACCCCACATGTTGTCCATGCTGGGGCTGACAGCAAGATGAAAGAGCCTTTTTTGGCCACAGTGTTTGTGTGATTTGAGAGTATGTGTTTGGTGCCTGATGAGTTTGTAAAACACAGACTAGGTCTGTCTCTGTGAGCCCAGTGTCATCGTCTTCTGCTGGGGCGGATTCCTGTTTAACCTTCTTTGCAGCGATGGCTCCTCCCTGGGCCCCGCCTCTTTTCCTAGATGGCCGGGGCTCATAGTCGCCATCCTCATCTGTGGCTGATGAATCACATGCAGCAATGTCAAAAAGCCGACCGCTGAACTCCTCGCCCTCTGATGCCGCTTCACTATAGGAGAGGTCACATGATGTTCTCACTGCAATCTGAACATTTAGAAAGAGGTGATGTCCAACTGTACAACCTTATAATCCAGTACATAATTGTCTCTATAGCTTTACTGTACAGTTCATGACAACTGTACAATTCATTTTCATGTAAGTCACCAGTTTACATCAAATTAAGCCTTAAAATTATGCATAACTTGCATGAAATCCATGGACTGTAACTTAAAGATGGCTTGTAACCACATAGCTTCCACGTTCCAAAAACAAAGCCACTGTAAAAGTGATTTAAGAGTGCATTATTTCACCAAAAATCCCACATAAAAGTAAGGCTGCAGGGATTTTCCAGTCTTGTCTGGGTTTAATCATATGTTGACAGACAAAGTATTAAAGGCTCATGAACCCACATGCTGATTATACACTGGCCCTAAGCTCATGTGAATTTGTCAGTAACCCAATTCTTTGCACATTTGCACATCCCCGTGTCATTTCAGACAATACCAGCACCTCACATCTTTACCTCACCTTACTGGTTGGACGACCTCCAGCAAACCTCTCCTGGCCTTGTCTGGTACTGGCTGAGCCGCCACAAGTGTTTGCATTTTCACCAAGGGGCCAGTGGTAGGCGTGTCCAGCCCCACAGCCCCACACAGCAATGGGGACGCTGCCACCGTGCGGACCAGATTCAGCTGTCAGCACATTGCTGTAGGAGCCACGGGTGATGTGCTGCAAGCTGGGGAGGAGGTTACAGATGGTGCCGTGGCTGTGAGCCCAGCGGACGAGTTTACACAAACTGTCCGAGGTGGTTTGAACCAGGCTGGACATCATAGGATGTCTGAAACAGAGAGGGAGAAGACGGTGTTAGAAACACTTTAATATTATTTATTTGTATCTGTTGCTAATATCACTGGCATCATAGATAAAAACTGCTTCCATCAGCTGCCTTTGCTGTTATCTTTCTTTCCTTTGCTGCTGATGCCATAAGTTTTTTTTAATAATTACTCAAGGAAATTCACATTTACAGGCAGTGCAAGTCTTGATTTGATCCATCTTAATTTTCAGCCATGTGTGACCTAAACTGAGTCCTAAGAACAGCTTCTCATATTACAGGCTCATTTATTTTTCAGTTTTTTGTGCTTTTGACTTTCTTCAATTTCAGGGTTTACATTATGCAAAATGTTTCATGTTCTTGTATATAAACTGGCGATTTAAAAAAAAAATCACTGTTTTCACTTTAGCAGACAAAAAAGACGTGCTGATTTTTAATGCATGTTTACCACAAATGACCACATCTAATCTGTTAGTGTTTTCCCCTTTTCTCCTCTTTAAATTATCCTCAAAGAAGACTTGTTGCTTTGCAAGTCCTATCGTGCAACAGCTGGATACTACACCTCGTAGCATGCAGCTGCTGCAATACTCAATCCCCTGATTCAGTTTACCATGGTAAAGATTACAGTCACATATTTATGAAGGCAAAATTTTCCAATTCATAAAAATAAATCTTGTCGGTTACAAGACGCCTAATTGTAGCTAGAGCAAATGAACTGTAAAAACAGAGTGTCCTTCAGTTTCCTGTTAAAAACAAGTTATATTTTATTTAAACTGGCATAAATCATCAATTTATCTTCCTCTCGATCAAATCTGTCCACGGGCAAATCCTAATTTAACAGACACAGGAAAACAAAGCACCTACAGCACATACACATGCCTCATAATTACCTTTAAAAAAGAAATCTAAATTAAACCAGGTCCATGCAGGTTTCACATAATCTGACTGTCCTCATTTATTCCGCAGCTGCCTGCAGTAAGCCAAAGCAACTCTCGGGTCTTATGTGCTGACGCGAAACACGCTTGATTAAAAATAATAATAAAAAATGTCCAGCTTGTGTTTAATTATTATCTTCTTTGTCCGGTAGGTTTAATATCGCCACAGTTGAATGAAAGGGTTGGTTTACTGCCAGCAAGTGGACGGGAGGATGAACTGTGCTCTGCTCTCAGTGGGTGATGAAACAGCGACCTCTAGTGGGCAGAGGGGGCTATTAATAAAGTACTATAATATATATCCTGCACATGCATATTATTTTTTTATTTTTGTTTTGATACAATTTAAATTATAAGAGGATGAGAAATAAAATATCCCATTCATCCATATAGATTGTAAGACGTGTTAAAAAAACATTTAATATTTGTTTTGCCGGGTTAAAACATGTTTTTACGTATTTATATATACTTATTTTCTCCCTGACACCCAACTAAAAAGCAGTTTCACAGCAGCATAAGCAGCCAAACAAGTTGTGCTGTCACAAAAAAAAATCTTCTCAGATTACAAATCAAGCGAACAGAAACTTTCAGCATGTCAAATTGATGCGAACACATCGTTCCTGCCCGGTGAAGCTGAAACATCCAGGAACTTGATGCAGACTTTACTTTAAAACACAAACAGTATTTTATTTTTAACTTTTTATTAAAGCCCAAATTAACTTTTAACGTTTAAAGTGTGTATTTTTAGCATCCTGAAGAGTGACTAGCGAATTTCTCTAATTAACATAAGGTTAGCCCGAGACCAGTTCAAAGATTACGTGTAATGACGTCATAGCCTATAAAGCAGGTTAACTGGGGCAGTTAATCTAACATACCCCGCTTGATGTGGATTGTTCCGTGTCTGGATAAATGAGTATATAAAAGCTGGAAGTTTTTTGGTTTTTAAAAGTTATTGGTCCGACTTCAGAGACTTGACTGAACGTGTTCCTGGCTCCACCCTCCGTTAGTCAGCCTGTGTAACTACGTGTTAGTGCTGGTGCCTTTAACTTACAAGCATCTTGGAGAGAGGAGGGGAAAAAAAGAGGACTTTCCCCCCGGCTTTTATCTTAGGGAAAGACGGCTATCCTGCCGTCGCAAGTTTGTTGGCTTTAAACTTGAATAGCCGGTGTCTTTCCGTAAGGGAGAAAAAAGGACAGGTTTTGAATGCGTTTTCGGACTTGGATTAAGTTGTGCATGGAAACTAATGATATTTGAACCCGCGGAAAGGAGAGAGAGGAGGTGGGTGTCGGATACAGGACTACTTTTGCGTGTCCGTCTTATTCTTTTGCGCGTGGATCACAGATACAAGCGTGTTTAATTTGGTCAAAGGTGGAATGGGTTGTTTTTTGTTTTTACCATAAAACTTCCTAAATCTGATTAAAGCTGCACAGATCCTAAAGGTTTAATCGTGCTGGAAGACATAACATTTTCGAGGAAGCTTTGAGAATCAGAACCAGAAATATATATCTATATATAGAGATATAAATATATAAAAATATATTGCAGCAGTATTGAAATTATGGCGCTGAAGGCCAAAGTGTTGTACGATTTCCACTCTGAAAATCCAGGAGAGATCTCCATAGCAGAGAATGAGGTGGTGACTCTGTTTAGCGAGGAGGAGCTGGAGGGTTGGCTGGAGGGGGAGAACAGCAAGGGGGAGGCTGGCCTCTTCCCTGCCTCTTATGTTGAGATCATCAGAGACCACATCACCTCCAACAACAATGGCTTCTCCTTGACCCAAACCAAAGTCCAGACCTCCTACACATCCTCCCAGCCTCACAGAGGATTTGGAGCTGATAGCAGCAGCTTCCACACTAGCCAGGGCAGCGATGATGACTGGGATGACGAGTGGGACGACAGCTCTCCTGTGGCCAATGTCCCTCAGGGTCTCAGCAGCAGCCCTCCTTTGCACCCAGTTGCCTCCTCCCTGCCGGGCCGTGGGAGCTCCCAGCAGCAGCAGGCCAAGAGTTCAGCCACAGTGGGGAGGAACCTGAACAGGTTCTCCACCTTCGTCAAGTCCGGAGGGGAGGCCTTCCTGCTAGGGGAGGCGTCAGCTTTTGTGAAAGATGGAGACAGGATCTGTGTGGTGATGGGGAAGCATGGACCCGAGTGGCAGGAGGACCCTTATCCGTTCACGTGCACCATTGACGACCCCACCAAGCAAACAAAGTTCAAAGGGATGAAGAGCTACATGTCATATGGCCTTACTCCAACGCACACCAATGTCCAAGTCAACCGCAGGTATGTATCGTCTTCCCTTTTCTCCACTTTTCTGATTTTTACTGCGGTTTACGAAATGTTAAAAACAGAGCTGTGGATATTTGCCATCTGGAGCCTTCTCTTGTTTCCTCTCTGAGGTTCCCTCAACAGCTTTCACATTGTTTCCATGTCCATGTGTCTGTCAGTTGAACTACACTCGAATTCCCTCAGGGCTTGTTGGGAAAAGATTCCTGCACTTCGCCTCCATTTATCTTTTTCACTCTGTCTCACTACATGCTCCTGGCATTACCTTACCTCACTTATTCAACCAGTCCCAATTTCTCTTCTCTCCACTCCTTCCTGCAGGTATAAACACTTTGACTGGCTCTACGGTCGGCTCGTGGAGCGCTTCCCTGTCATCTCAGTGCCCCACCTGCCAGAGAAGCAGGCCACGGGCCGCTTCGAGGAGGACTTCCTCTCCAAGAGGAGGAAGGGTCTGATCTGGTGGATGAACCACATGACAAGCCATCCTGTGCTGGCGCACTGTGACGTTTTCCAGCATTTCCTGACTTGTGGGGCGGATGAGAAGGCATGGAAGCAGGGAAAGAGGAAGGCAGAGAGGGACGAGCTGGTCGGGGCCAATTTCTTCCTCACAATCAGGTAGGAGTCTGAGAATTGGTCTTTATTAAGATGCACATAGCATTTTGGGAAATGACAAAGTTTTTTGTCAGGTTCTTTTTAATAGTGTTAAGTTTAGCTGAAAGATATTTGACCTTGTATAGGGAACTAATATTATAAACTATGTTCTTTGCTCTGTTTTAACAACTTGGAGTTGAAGGCCTTTAAAAATAGGGTGTGCCAGATAGTGAGCAAAAGATAAGCAGTAGAAAAAGATTTAAAATGACAATCTTCCCCTTTCTTTTTTCCGTCAGCCCCCCATCTGTACCTCTGGACCTGCAGGAAGTCGAGAGCAAGATTGAAGGCTTCAAAACATTCACCAAGAAGATGGACGAGAACATCATAGTTGTGAACACCAGCATCAACGAGTTCGGCCGCAAACAAATATCGGGGTTCAAAAAGGAGTACCAGAAGGTCGGACAGTCCTTCAAACTCCTGGCCCAGGCTTTCGAGCTGGACCAGCAGGTCTTCTCAGTGGGCTTGAACAAGGCCATTTCCTACACGGGGGAGTCTTACGAGGCAATAGGAGAGTATTTTGCTGATCAGCCGCGGCAGGACCTGGACCTCATTTCCGACCTGCTAGACATCTACAAAGGACACCTGGCCAACTTCCCTGACATCATCCATGTGCAGAAAGGTGGGAGAGTGTCTTTGTCTTCATGTTGGTAAAAAAAATTCAGCTCTGCAGTCTTAGAGCACAAATGCAAAGGAAAGACGTTGAGCACATTTTTATGCAGGGCTAACGTTTTAATACTGCCTAAACATGTTAAAATACTTTCTTGGGAAAATAAATTCTAATTAGTAACAAACCAATTATGAAAAATCAAAAAACAAACAAACTTAGAGGAAAGAAAACAGACTCGGCACCAAGTATGTAGGGAAGCTTTTAACTGCCGTTTAAAGAAAAAAATTTAAACGAATTATATGCGTCTAAATGCTTCTAGCATGTCTGTTAATCATGCAGACATACAAAGACCCAGATTCTGACTGTATCCCAACCAAGAGAAACATCTGTTTTCATTTAGTGAAGAGCAGTGTCAATCTGCGTCGAAAACTGAAACCCATGGTCCATTGTAACACTCGGGGTACTGTGCGAGGGCCTGTATTTGCTCATTTTGAAAACACACACACACTTACAAAGCAGGAGTTGGCTTATTAGTTCCCTGCAGGTTGGGAGGAGGGAGTTCCTCCTGGCACGCAGAGTCCAGACGTTTGCCAGACCGAGAGACACTGTTTCTATAGTCTGCTGAACTCTGTTCTCCAGATACAATCCCAGCTCCCAACTGTGGAACGAGCCTGAATTGCAATAGTCCGTGTGACTGACAGGGCTTCACCTCCTTTCCTGTTGACAAATAACAAACACATTGTTTTATGCCTCGCAAAGCCCATTTACTTACTAACTCACTGTTTTTTTCCTGTTAAGTTTTTCATGCCAAAGTTTCTCTCCACAGAGCATCATTGGTTCGGGGTATTTTGTATAAAATGGGACGCCAAATAAAAACCAGTTAAACCAGTAAAACACATTTTACTTAAATTATAACCAAATTGATTAATATCTCGGAAAGATAGTCAACGTAATTTAAACATTTCAGGTGATCTCCCACAAAGTAGTGACATAATTCTGGGGCACCGGCGTGGGTTTCATCACTGAAAACACTGACTGGCAACATTTTTTTGTCCTTTTCATACAAAGAGTTGATTCTGTTTATTCATGGTCGGTAGTGACCGTGACCGCCCACTTTTTTTAAGACCTCCACTTCCAGTAGTGAATTTCTCATTCATTTTGTCCACTGATGTTTCAGAAAATTATTACATTTTATATACATTTAAGCCTTCAAGTGAGCCAGCCAGCTACAAGCCAGATCATAACCATGAAATCATTTGATTTGGATCAAAAATATAAAGCAAAATGAAAGTCTACTCAAGTTTCTTCAGTGTTGTGCTCACTAATTGAGCTGATGTGTAAGGGTTTAAACATTTCAGTGGTAACAGAAACCTCTATGCTTTTCCTACCCTTGATGTCAGTAACACGGTATATCCTCTTCTAGTTTTCAGCTAGATTCTATCCTGCTGTAAACTAAATTATAACCCTAATTATAACACATCCAAAGAAAATGACTAACACAACTATAAAATAGACCCAGCATGCAGAAGAATTTGTAAGCCTTTACAATAAGCACTCTCAGACTTTTGTAATCATCTCTGCTGGTGTTAGAAAAGGTCAGTATCCGGTGAGTAACATCCTTCAACCATTGACCATACTGCAGAGTCGACATTGCTGCTGGGGTTGTGAAATAACTTAGATTCGCATAAGATGACTGGCTTAGTTCACGAGGCATCTGATTTGATAAAGAAATAGGCAAGAAGGAAAACAGGACTCTAGCGGGTTTGCGTTTCCAGACGCATCAGGCTTCATTTTTTTCTCAGCAGCAGCAGCTCCACATTCCCCTAATTTCTATCAGTCTCATATTGTCTCATATACACTTTCTCCAGTAATGGCTAAATTAGAAAACATATAAAATGGCAGCTGTAACACCTCATGTTTGACTGCTTTGTTGAACTACATATGTCACTTACGGTGACAGTCATCTATGCCAGCTCAGTCTTTTAAGTCCAAAGGCTACATCTGATTTGAATGAGTGGGAATTCCTGGGCCTCTTGTACTCTGTTGCCCCGGGACTACAGGAATCCAAAATGGAGCGGTCTCAGGATTACATTCCCCTCCTCCTCTTTTTTTGTTCCCCCCTTTTCCTCTTTCCTCCTGTTGGTTAAAGAAAAATAGGAAGAAGAAGAAGAAGAGGGGAGGTGAATGTATGAGGGGGTACGGAGAGTTACAGAGCTTTACAAGATTTCCTACCAGCATAACAGTACAAGAGTTCAAATTATAGCTCAGTAATCCCCTTGGCGGGGAGGAGAGCAAAGTCCGAGTTTTTTTTTTTGCTTCACTGTGGTGGCAAACTTGTGCTTCTGATCTTCGTGAGATAGAGAGAAGGAGAAACTAGGTCAGCACGTTCAAGATCAGCTTCCTCGCAATTTCCTCCACATTCATGTGAGTTAGTCCTTAACTCTGAGATCCCTCTTTGTTGGTCCTGTCTGTCTGGACTGTACAGCCTCCCCCCCAAAGCTTGAGTCACTCTAAACACTGTGAGTCATAAGTGGGTGATGGGTGTCTTCAAAGAAACCTGGCAAAGGTTTGCAACAATCAGCACATTTCTGCAGGTTTCTCAACATGTCCTGATTTTATGTGATCCAGTTACGACCTCGTGAATTTTGTATTGCACAAGTTCCTTTTGTAGAATTGTGTTTTAATTATTTGTGTAGAAGTTCTAAAAATATTCCAGACTTCCTTGATTTGACTATTGAGTTTGACTTCCTCTTTCCTGTGTAGCCACCCTGATGTCATCAACTGCTTTGCGGACAATTATTTTGAAGTCTCAATTTTCTAATTTTGGCAAAAAAAACCAACTAAGTGTTGTCTCAGGGGGAAAACTGAACTCCTATGAGTGTCTTTTTTTTTTTATCTGAGCACAAAAAACTCGAGTCAACCCTAACAAGCTAAAGAGAGCACAACCATATAGCAAGCTGTGAAGATGAATGGTTCTGTTGTTATCATCAAGTCCTGAAAATTGGTCAATGGGGGTGTAAAAGTGTATTTTTTATAATGGGGATTTTATGTTGAAAAATAAAATCAAGTGGCGGTATAACCTTAACCATATAAATTTTGTCCAATCAGAAGCCTAGGGGGCAAAAAGTTGCTAGGCAAAAAAAGGAGGAAAAAGAAAGCACTGTGCAGGAGTCCTCCTGTTCTTTCCATTCATAATAAAGTCTTTGAGTTATCCAGTGGCTGCTTTAAAAAATGTCCTTGTTGTATTTTTCATTTCACAATGTGCCAAGTGTTTTCAGTTTGTGAAAGGTCTGGACTGCAGGAAGGCCAGTTGAGTGCTCTTCTAATGCAAAGCAATATTGCTGTAATGCATGGACAGTATGTAGTTTAGCATTGGCTTGCTGATATATGCAAGGCCTACCTTGAAAAAGACTGCATTGTGTGGATAGGAGCACATGTTGCTCTAAAGCTGTATATACCTTTCAGCATTAATGCTGCTTTTCCAGATGTGCATGCTGCCAGTTCCACACACGCTAATTCATCCTCCATACCATCAGAGATGCAGGCTTTTTAAATGAACATTAATAAGAAGATGGCAGCGTTTTTGGATTATACTCGAATAAAGTTTTAACCTGTCTAGTTTCAAGATCATTTCTTGAAGTGTCCTGAGCCCATGTGGTGATTTACATGACAATGCCATGGTCTCAGATTGTCTCATCCAATGTTTGTGAGTTTTTACTTTTAAATTTTGCACATTTAAACTTTGCATTTGGTTATTGTTTAAACTGTTTAATGTATTCTCTCCCTTAGTGTATTTACCCATTTTATTAGTTCTTAGTTGCTTTAGAGTAATTTTTTTCCCTCAGTGCTCCATCTTTTTGTGTCAAGTCTCCCGTACGTTCATTCATATTTTCCACGTTTAGATATCTCACTTCCTGCTTTATTTTGAAAGTTAGTTTTTTTCCTTGTGCTTTGCTTTTAGTTCCCTTGTCTTGGCTCTGCAATTTAGTTCAGATGTCTTCTTCTCCCCAGCTGTCTGCACTTCCTCTAATCACCCTTCTGTTTATGTATAGTTGCTGTCTCCACTTGTCCTTTGTCAGAGTGTCTGTTCCCCTTGGCCCAGTGTGTTTCTTAGTATTTTTTTTTTTTAATGTTTTTAAATCCCCCCCAAAAGTGCTCACGACAGACCGGTTACTCTCACTGAACCTGGTTCTGCCTGAGTTGAGGTTTTTCCTGTTAAAAGGGAGCTTTTCCTTCCCTTTGTCACCAAAGCGCTTGATCAGCACGGGGTCATCTGATTGTTGGGATTGTTAGACAGACAGAGAGGCCTGTTTAAAACTGGCGACGATGTTGGCGTCAGACTCTGGGCCACGAGAGTTCGTGTTGGATGTAGTACTTCATTCTCACGCCTGTCTTTCTAGACAGAGGAACAAAATTGCAGATATTAAGAATAACAAATGTATTGCAACAGTATTTTTGCCTGCACCTACCATTACAGGAAATTGTCTCATGAAAAAAACATTGCACATTATGATGTCAAAAAGAACATCATACCATTAATGTGGCTTGCCTTTAAGGGCATACCACATCAATGGTATGCCCTTAATGTGTCTCTGGAGGCTCCATTTTTAGTGATCTGATAAATGGAGATAACAGTTTACACGTAGGCTAAAAGCTAAAAGCTAAAAACCCAAAAATATCTGTGTATGTGTTGCCACAACCTTTAGTGACTGTAACTTCAAGTGTGCAAACTTAGATTGTTATCTTATCAGCTATCTGTCGCTGAAGTGTTCTTGTTTATCTGTGTAAAGAAAGGAAACCTGTATTTGAGGTAATGTATTTTAAGATAGAGGAATATCAAAGCAGAGTGGCATGGTAGTTATCACTGTTGCCGCACAGCAAGAAGGTTCTGAGTTCAATTCCACCATCAGGCCGGTGTGGAGTTTGCATGTTCTCCCTGTGTTTGCGTGGGTTTCTCCCACAGTCCAAAGACATGCAGTTAGTGAGGATTACCCACAGGTGTGAGTGTGAATGGTTGTTTGTCTCTGTGCGTTAGCCTTGCGACACACTGGCGACCTGTCCAGGGTGTACCTTGCCTCTCGCCCTATGATAGCTGGGATAGGCTCCCGCGACCCTGTAAAGGATAAGCAGAAGCGAATGGATAGCTGTAGAATATTATTTCTGAAATAAATGTGTCAGGGTTTTATTTCCAGTGTTGTCATGATCACAGAATATTTTTGAATACGTTTTTTTTTTTTTATTGTGAAAAATCCGAAAGTTTTTTTTTTAAACTTTTGAACTCTCCGATGTATTTTCCCAGGTGCGCTGACCAAGGTGAAAGACTGCCCAAAGAAGGAAGGTGAGCTGCATGACCGCTGCAACATCATTTCTTTCGCCACGCTGGCAGAAATCCAGCACTTCCACCGCACACGTGTACGGGACTTCCGCTCACAGATGCAGTACCACCTACGCCAGCAGATCAGCTTCTTCCAGAAGATCACGGCCAAGCTTGAGGACGCACTGCAGATATATGACGATGACCAGTAGCACAAGAGTGAGACAAGGAAGAGAACAGACTACAAAGGCTTCAAAGAAATGGGTTGTGGTGGTGGTGTCATCCTCTCATAATCGAGAGCATCTTATTGTCCTTTAAAAGAAAAATCTTTTTTGTGATGATCCCTCGCTGTCTAGTTGGAGCATTGGAAGAAAAATACAGGCCATTTGACAACTTCTTGTATTATCTGAAGCTCTGATGAATGTACCATTAACAAGGATTTTGCTGACGCTCCAGACACATGTTGCAACTCAGCAGGATTGCAGCAGATATTTAAAACAGCTGCTCTCAGTATGACTGGAGCTGCGTTTGAGTCACAGTTTCAGGGTCACGTGACCGTCTCCACTGCCTCTTCATGGGAGCACTCGGTCGGGAAAGAACAATCAACAACAGCCCAAACAAAGACTGGAAAACTAACTAAATCGCTTGAACTGGATGTTTTAGCGCCTGAAAGATATAAATGTACTGATTTGTTTTAACTTGAATGACCTGCTCAGTATTGTTTTAACAAGACAGCGTATGAAAGGGAAGAGGGCACTGTCTACTTTCCAGAATCGGTTTCAAGTCTGGATTTCCATCACAGCTTGAAATCTGAGCTACCTGTGATGTCTGACTTCTTTCACATCACCCTCACCTTGTTTGCATTTGAAACTTTTTGTGGTTGAACATTTTCTCTTAAATGTTTTAATGGTGAAGCGGTACCGCAGTAATTTAACTTCCAGATGTTTTATGAAAACCTAATGCTACATCTGTCTCTCACCCAATTCAGGGTAAGGTTAAAAGCTCTTTCGAATGCCAGCTATTTCTGGCATGGAAACAGTAAACCGAGAGCATGCAGGCAGTGATTGTGATTATAGCATATTTTACATGCTTTAGAGTGAAAGCTTTTTGTTTGAGAAACATGGCAGTCCTTGTGAAACTGATCAACTTGTACATCTCAGACATGCATCACTAACAGACCAATTCTTTTAATGCTATTTGGGGTTGGCATTGTTCAAATACTAGACATAACAGCTTTTCAACTCCCTTCTAACACGCCACCAAAATATGATCACAATGCCTCACGTGTACTGATATAATGAGCCCGATTCACCCAGAAGCTCCTTGGATTTAATCAGCATTGAGTTGCAGGCTGAGCTCTCTGAGAGACAGTTAGGATTTGTTTAATATTACTTATATTTTCCTTAAAAATGCAGAAAACTCAGAGATACAGTTCAGTGGAGTTGGTTACAGGGGTTTAAAGTATCAGCCACTGTAAGTCTGAGTTGTGGTATCAGGTGTGACTTCATTCCTTTCCTGTGATTTCACTTTACAAAGTTTATAATGGGACAAACCACCATCCTGGTTGTTTTTTAGCTGTTCACTTGGATCGCTAGCAAAAGTGAAAGTGATATACTTTCAATATAACATGATGGGAGAAAATAAAAAAATAAATAAAAGCAGAATTTATTTCAGTTCAGACTCTGTATTGTTGATCATTGGCATTTTTGCACAATATAGGCCCATTTTCTGCATATTTTAGGGTGTTTGTTTTGATGAATATTAATATATTTGTGATGATCACACACTATTTGGACAAAAGGTATTGTGCCACACTTCTTAATCTTTCATCTTTTTAGTGCCAAGGGTGTATAGAATCAGTTACTTAGCAGTTCAGCATGCCTTTGCAGTCATTTGTGAAAGAATAAGCTCACTGAATTCAAGTGCTGTAATAACGCGCCACACTTTCAAAAAAATATATCCATAATCAGCTGTACCCGCTGAAAAAAAATGACGGTTGAAAATCAGAGAAAAGCCTATGAAACATTGTCATTGTAGATGCGCTTAGTCAGTGTTATTATTCTTGTGTTAAACTTTCAGTTCAGTTTCAATTATATAGTCCCAAATCACAACACCAGTCACCTCAAGGCACTTTATATTGTAAAGTTAGGACCCTACAGTAATACAGAGAAAACCCAAACAACCAAATGACCCCCTATGAGCGAGCACCTGGCGACCCTGGCAAGGGAAAACTCCCTTTCAACAGGAAGAAACCTCTGACAGAACCCGGCTCAGAGAGAGGCAGCCATCTGCTGCAGACGGTTGGGGGTGGTCACACATTTTAAACCCTTTATCAGGTAAGAAACAATGTTTGGTGACTTCACTGGACATAAATTAGCCTAGTTTCCCCTTCTCCAGGAGGCCATAGAACCACTTGGATGTTTCCCACCACCCACCTTACCATATGGTAATTTATGTGGCTGCTTCACTGACCTTGATTTGGACCATGAAAATTACAAATGTGGAAACGTTATCAAAAAATAAAAAACTTGCAATATAGACCAACTTGAATTTCCAAACATTTCAATGAGTGACCTATAAAGGGTTATGCAAGGGTTGACGTACAGTGGGGCAAAAAAGTATTTAGTCAGCCACCGATTGTGCAAGTTCCCCCACTTAAAATGATGACAGAGGTCAGTAATTTGCACCAGAGGTACACTTCAACTGTGAGAGACAGAATGTGAAAAAAAAATCCATGAATTCACATGGTAGGATTTGTAAAGAATTTATTCGTAAATCAGGGTGGAAAATAAGTATTTGGTCACCTCAAACAAGGAAAATCTCTGGCTCTCACAGACCTGTAACGTCTTCTGTAAGAAGCTTTTCTGTCCCCCACTCGTTACCTGTATGAATGGCACCTGTTTGAACTCATCATCTGTATAAAAGACACCTGTCCACAGCCTCAAACAGTCAGACTCCAAACTCCGCCATGGCCAAGACCAAAGAGCTTTCGAAGGACACCAGGAAAAGTATTGTAGACCTGCACCAGACTGGGAAGAGTGAATCTACAATAGGCAAGCAGCTTGGTGTGAAAAAATCAACTGTGGGAGCAATCATCAGAAAATGGAAGACATACAAGACCACTGATAATCTCCCTCGATCTGGGGCTCCACGCAAGATCCCATCCCGTGGGGTCAAAATGATCATGAGAACGGTGAGCAAAGATCCCAGAACCACACGGGGGGACCTGGTGAATGACCTGCAGAGAGCTGGGACCAAAGTAACAAAGGTCACCATCAGTAACACACTACAACGGCAGGGAATCAAATCCCGCAGTGCCAGACGTGTTCCGCTGCTGAAGCCAGTGCATGTCCAGGCCCGTCTGAAGTTTGCCAGAGAGCACATGGATGATACAGCAGAGGATTGGGAGAATGTCATGTGGTCAGATGGAACCAAAGTAGAACTTTTTGGTATAAACTCAGCTCGTCGTGTTTGGAGGAAGAAGAATACTGAGTTGCATCCCAAGAACACCATACCTACTGTGAAGCATGGGGGTGGAAACATCATGCTATGGGGCTGTTTTTCTGCCAAGGGGACAGGACGACTGATCCGTGTTAAGGACAGAATGAATGGGGCCATGTATCGTGAGATTTTGAGCCAAAACCTCCTTCCATCAGTGAGAACTTTGAAGATGAAACGAGGCTGGGTCTTCCAACATGACAATGATCCAAAACACACCGCCCGGGCAACAAAGGAGTGGCTCCGTAAGAAGCATTTGAAAGTCCTGGAGTGGCCTAGCCAGTCTCCAGACCTCAACCCCATAGAAAATCTGTGGCGGGAGTTGAAAGTCCGTGTTGCTCGGCAACAGCCCCAAAACATCACTGCTCTCGAGAAGATCTGCATGGAGGAATGGGCCAAAATACCAGCTACTGTGTGTGCAAACCTGGTAAAGACCTATAGTAAACGTTTGACCTCTGTTATTGCCAACAAAGGTTATGTTACAAAGTATTGAGTTGTATTTTTGTTATTGACCAAATACTTATTTTCCACCCTGATTTACGAATAAATTCTTTACAAATCCTACCATGTGGATTCATGGATTTTTTTTTCACATTCTGTCTCTCACAGTTGAAGTGTACCTCTGGTGCAAATTACTGACCTCTGTCATCATTTTAGGTGGGGGAACTTGCACAATCAGTGGCTGACTAAATACTTTTTTGCCCCACTGTAAGTTCAAATGATGTAAAGTTCATTATCAGAGGGTGAACATGAGGCTCTGCCCAAACTGATTTCCACGTGACCTCTGAATTGGAGCAATGCAGGCTTGTTTATGCAGACACTACTGTATGGTTACCCACTACCTGTGATTCTTTGAATCAGGCTACCAAATGGTGTAACTTGAACAACTTCTCATCCATGTTTTCTACAGCTGTCCATGTTCCTTTATCTGAAAGCCCGTGTAGCGTTCAGTTACACCAACACAGTGACTTCAGTATCAAAATTCAAATACAGTTAGAACAGAAAAAGCCAGAAAAGTACAGTCCACATTAACATTAAAACAGTAATCTATTACTTTACGTATTTACTCCCTGAAAAACTTTAGCTGCACTTCTCTTTGCACTTTTGCTTTAATCACCCAAGATACATTAAGACAGAGTTAACCAGAGGGTTAACATGCACATCACTGCATATCCACACTAATGACTGTGCTAAGGAGGGGACATATGTTGGCACTTTACTGTCACATTCTTGCCCGTTCATGGAACAGGTTCATACTAAATATCTCCTCCCATCAGAAGTATGTTTCTTTATGCACGTTACCTGACAGCTGTTGCACAAACAGGCATGAAAGAGCATGTTTGATTTGGTTTTTGTTTCTGTTCACTGATTATGCAAGACAAAAAAAAAACCCAACACAATTGGCATAATTGCTTGATGAGTGCACTGAATTTACCAAATCTAATGTGATTAGAGTGATGTTACCCTTCCTAGAGAAAAGTCTCTCATCTCTTGTTTTCTCTGGTGAAGGGACCACTTCACTCCTTGCTATCTGACACCAGAGTTCAAAGACTGCAGATCAGGTTACTCCAACTGCAGGCCCTTCATTATTTAGACTGTCCTCTTTCTCCCCTCCACTCAGTCTTGATTTTACTTTGAAATTGTGCTTTGTTCAGAATGCGTTCAGACTTACCTGCAAAAGAAACAAACAAAAAAAACAAGACCTTTCTGGGGTACTGCTCTCTAAACGCTGCCTGATTCATTGAGTTTTAAAGGTCAGAGATGAGGGTTGTGGAGCGGTAATACAAAAAATTTGACTCACCCCAGATGTTATGCATGTGACCAGATTAAGAATCTACGTGGAATTCTACAGTGCAATGCATTCAGAATTTTTGGTGTATGTTATGGTGTTAACGCTTGTCACGTGCATGCCTGGCCACAGATATACATGTAGAGAAACAAGTTTTCTGCACTCATTCATGTTGTGTACAACGAATCCTGGCTCTGCCATCTGAACGTCACAGCCGGGTGTGACAGAGTATTAAGGCCACATTAAGAAAAAAATATAATTTTGCCACGGCTGCTTTTTCTTTTTTTTTCAACTTTATTCTCAAAATGCGGCACTAATACTCCTTTGTAGCAGGAACTCATCAGAACCAGGTAATATCTTCTGTTGTCCAATTTTGGTGAGCCTCTGTGAATTGTCACCTCAGCTTCCTGTTTGTAACTGATGGGAGTGGCACCCAGTGTGGTCTTCTGCTGCTGCTGCCCATCTGCTCTTCAGAAATGCTTATCTGCATTCCTTGGTTATAACGAATGGTTCTTACTATTGCCTTCTGCTCAAAGCTGACTGGCATAAACAGTATTTTTCCCCCACAGAGATGCCTGCTGGATATTACCTCTTTTTTGCGACATCTGCTGATGCTCTGTTGGAACTCCAGCATGTTGTCTTGACCATGTCTACATAACTAAATGCAGTGATTTGCCGAACTGTAATTGACTGATTAGATATTTGCATTAACGAGCAGTTGAATCTGTGTACCTAATAAAGTCAGTCAGTTGTCTGTTGGGGTTTCATTCGTTTAAATACTCTGGTATTAAAATGGGCAACTTTATTGTCATAGATGCTTGGTGTTGGCCATTAACAAGGAAATAAAAGGAAAAAGAAATGCCACTAAAAAATAGCGTAACATATTTAGATTTGCACAAACAGCATGGGTATTTAAGAAATATTTTTTTATTAAAAAAACTGTCACAGTGCGTGGCAAACAGATGCAGCCATACAAGGGGTCAGAATTGACAAGTACATCTTACAATGCATCATTATTGATCATAGAAGCAGTTACATAGCAGGAGTAGTAAGAAAAAGGACACAGGAAAGTACAGGATAGGGAATAATGCCTGTGTCTGTACATGTGGGATGAGTGTTATAGCTTACAGTACATTTAGTCGTATGTACAAACATGATGATCTACTGGCTGACGTAATATGTTTTAAAAAAGCAACACCTGACATCTGTACAGCGTGCAATAGCTGTGGGTGAGTGACTTCCATTACCAGTTATATGTGTGCCAACTCAAAATATAGCTGCTGTTAATGTGGTTCACATTAAATGAAATGAACCCCGGGCCACGTTTCACTTCCTCCTTCAGTATAAAATGTATTATTGCAACAACTCTTTGCTTTAAGGAAAATA